CACTGTTAAACGGGGTGCCCCTGTGTTCCCTTTGAGAGCAGTAGGTGTAGAAAGGGGAGTGATGGTACGCTATTGAGCGGGGTGCGTCTGTGTTCCCTTTGAGTGAAGCGGGTGTATGAAGAGGTGCAATGGTACACCATCAAATGGGGTGCATCTGTGTTCCCTTTGAGTGAAGCGGGTGTAGAAAGAGGTGTAGCCGTACACCATCGAATGCGGTGCACCTGTGTTCCCTTCAAGTGAGATTTCTGTAGGAAAAGGTGTACATGTTCACCACACCAACGGGTGTACACGTACTCCCATATTTGGGGTGCACTTGTATTCCCCCAAAGGGTGTAGTATATCTGACAAGCACTTACACCCCCTATGGGTGTACCCCATGACACCCTTTTTTTTTACAGTGTGGGAGGTAATATTTACCTCTTTGGTGCCCCTTCGAGGCGAGCTTCACCTTGTAGCACCGCATTCCTATTCGCGACTCCAGCAAAACGGACGCCGCCAAGCGGGAAAACCGGGAACCAGCCGGTCCAGGTCGCTCCGCGCCCCTCCGCGTCTCTGGTGGCTTTCGCGGAGACGTGTTGTCGGCGCGGTGGCGAACAATGTAATTTGACGAAGGTTCGAATATTTCTTAAGTTTGCCTGAGTGATCATTAGTGTGATGAAGCCTCAGTAAATTGTTTTCTTCTATTACGTGTTTGAAAGCCCGTTTACTCCACAGCACACGGTCGCGTGCTTTCGATTTCTTGGATGGGGAGGAATCATGGAAAAACCTTTTTGATTTCTTGTCTGTCTCGAATCACATTCAAAGTGACGACTGCTTGGTAACTGATACTGGAGGGAACATCAATGTTGCAGTCAAGTGAATGGGAAGGGTCGATAGCTGCTTTTCTTGAGTTTGGTTGTGTTCGGTTAGCTTAAAGTTTGAGCCACCCACGCCGGTCGGAGCGTTGGCTATTCATCTTGGCTGCTTTTCGCCGAAAAAGCCTTTGGACCACACTGAAGGAGTTGGGCTGATTTCGCAATTACTTGATTCAGGAAAACTTGCTCGCTGCAAATGATGAATGAGGGAAATTATCTGTTTTCAAAAGATGGGAGACAAGTCTCGCAACGTTAGATGCTGCCACGGCATTTTGACCTATCGCGCTTCCAATATTTATATTACCAGGACGTCGAAGCCAGCAGTAATATACGTCTACATTGATCAGGTTGACCGCCACAAAAAAATACTAATTTTCTCCGTTCAGGATTCGAAGCAAAGTTCAATGCAGAGAGGTTCTGCGTGGATCTTCAATGAAGACTCTCTTCAGTTTGTCTCCGTGTTGCAGGCTATAGAACCATTTGGCTAAATTTAAGTAGTATGTCTTCGTCTGTCAAATATACTTTTATTCAGCAGCTCACCTAATAGCTAGTCAACTAAGCTCATATTTCAACCCGAAGGATATACTAATATCGCTTTAGTGGGACCATAGTACGTAATATAATACATAACCCGCTCGTCAAAATGACTTCTCGATTGCTACTAAAACCTGAATTGAAATACAAGTATCAGCTGCTTAGTGGGGCGCCGGCGGGTCAACATGGTCCTTGGCTCAAAAAGCGGTTGCTTAATTTTCGTAATTTTCCTGCAGCCTGTGTTGATGGCCGAGCAGACGACTGGAGCTGTTTCGTAAACGCGGATACGCACAAAAGCTCGATTCCGCGGACAGATAAGTCGCATGGTCGAGGCATGCGAGTTAGCTGAAAAGTTACTATCTGTGGAACAATTCTATAGTCATCGCCGCTTTCCTTAGATGATCAAAACTGATTAGTATATTACCGTCTCTCCGGAGCCGATAGTTTCGGTTTTGAACGAAATCTCCGAAACGAAAGTTTGACACGAAAAGAACAAAAAAACACCGGCAAAACAAAACTATGCTTTGCAAGTTTATCTGCACCGGCTACACTTCACCGTCTCAGTTCAAATACCTATAAAATTGGGCACTAAACAAAAGAAAATCTGTTAAATTGAACGCGCCACCCATTCAGGCGGCCCGGCCGAGCCGCCACGACCTGGACTCAGCCGCCATGTTTGTTTGGTGGTGGCGCCCCCTATAGGTCGCTGGAGTCGCGAATAGTGTCCGCTGCGCCTGAGGAGGCAACAAGCGGAGCGCTTCCCCCCTGGCCGGGAGGAGGGTGGTAAAGGTGGTCTGTTACCTCCTTTTGGTCCCCCTTTTTTCTAAGAGTGTAAGCGAGGTGTGTGTCAGTTGACGGCACTTAAAAAACAAATGGCATTGATAGCACATTCATTGTCAACAGCGCATGGCCGAACCGTTTTGACATGAGCCGGTAACCGTTATTTTTTTTCCGGTTCAGTTCCGGTTCGGGCTCATCGCGATAACAATATAACGGTTCGGGTTCGGCTTCAGTTCCCGAAAAAATACCGGTTCGGTTCCGGTTCGACACCCTGATATATATATATATATAAGGTACTTTAAGTGAAGTGCAAAGTAAGTAAAATGTTATGTACAGCCTCCATATATATAGATATTTTTTTTTTGAAATATCGCGCGAACATTATCCGGCCGGTAGACCAGCGTCTTATCGCGGCGTGAAACAGCAAGTGAGCGAGGCTATGCACAATGTACTTCAAGTATAGTACTATACATACAATATACTTTCAGAGCAAAGTGCAAGTACTTTTTAACACGATCTACCATAATGCCCTTACATTTTTCTATACTGTTTCTTTCCTCTTCTTTTCACTGGTATGGATTGCCCCGAGGGTAATCGGGGTCGCATCGGTGATATTCGGAAATGGCGGTGAATATTCGGTAAAGCCAAATGGCCACAAAGTGATGGTTTTACTCTCGCTGGCGAACTACTTAGCACAATAAACTTATGAGGCACTTATCTGTGACCGCCTTGAAAAATTCATTTCTTCGCTCGGAGATGCTAACTTTGAAGTATAGCTTCAAAGTTGACAAAGCATAATTTTGTGATACAAAATTAGCGCGACCAAATTTGGAGAATGTACTTTGAAGTTAGGGGTTGTGCTTTCCTACAGAAATACCAGAAAAAAGTACTCTAAATAAAGTACGCGCACAAGTACGTACTCAGAGATTATACTTCGGGTAAATTACAACTTTTTAAAACCCACTTGAAGTAGCACTTCAACTACAACATACCTAAAGTACATCTCAACACTGCTTTTTCCACGGTGTGTGTGTGTGTGTGTTGAGGGGGGTGAATTAGCGAATTCTTTCAGTGATCTGACAGTGCCCAAGTCAAATGTTAATCCGGAGCTCGTAGAACTCGTGACACGCTGATCAGCAGATATACTATCGTGGTTAGTTAAAATCGCATACAAATTATTGGTTTGCTAACACCGTCTCAGGCCACAAGGTTGCAAATGAAGTGTATCGGTGGACTTTGTGGTAACATACTTTTCACAATTATTAACACAGGCCAGCGAGACATTTGAACAATTCCGTAATTTTTTTTTCATTCAAGCTTTTTTTTTGTTTTTAGTATTGAGCTTTTTTTAGAGTTTTAACGGCACGCCGCACGTCGCCGAGCGAGCGCGCGCGTGGCCGAATGGTTACCGCGCTTCGCTATCGCACGGGGGCTTCAGGTTCCATTCCAGGGAGCGGACTCCTCTTTCATTTATTTTTTCAACTTGACGTTTTCGTAAGTTCGAGAACATTGTCTTCTGATCGAGTTACGAATGTTCTACGCGCCGAACATTCTACGCCGAATGTTCCAGACACCCACGCGGGTACAAAGGATGCTCCGAGTGGCGATGCGGAGTGCATATTGTTAGGGCGCAGGCGATACACCCCCTAGCAACGGCGCTCACACCGGATTGGCTGGCTCGTGGAGATGGACGCTGCCGCTGTCAACATAAGCAACGGTTACAACGAGTTTCCTAAGCGGTGTCTGCCTCGTACGTAGCGGGACCCTAGTTGGATCCGCAATGTGGGCTTGCTCATTTTCTTTTTCTTTCTCGAACGTTTAGCTTTTTGTCAGGGCATTTGATGATATTTACGAAATTTCTTTTTCACGATTAACATTAAAAAGAAAAAAACGAATGTTGTCGACGAAATATCACTGAACTAAATGGTATGGGACTTCCTTTACGGAGGTTCGATGGTGGACAACGGGGATTGGTTGCCTGCTGGATGCCGCGAAGCTGCTTGTGCGGGTGGGCAAGTGGGTTAATAGTTCTGAAATAAACTGCCGCAGACTGTCGCCGCGAAGCGGCGTTAACGCAGGCGGGGGTGGTTTAACATGCTCCCCGGTGATACATGCGCCGTTTGAATCCACAATCGAAGTTTCCGCGCGTTGCTATGCGTGACGGCGGCAGCGTTTATCTCCACGAGCTGCCGATCCGGCGAGAGCGGCGTTGCTAAGGGGTCTATCGCCTGCGCCGCGTCCGGCGTCAGTCTCGCTATCGCGCTCGATCGTGCTACTCCACCGGCCTGCGACGCCTGCGACGCTACCTCTGTGTATTTTTGTTTTCCGCACAAATTCGCCAAATTAAACGTTTAGTTTCTTTTCCTTCGTCGCCTCATGATCTGTCATTCGGGACAGTATAGCGGTGACCAGCATCTTCTATTTATCTTCAGCAAGGAGTGCACAGAGGACCTCGGTCGTAAGACCACAGAAATTTTAAATAAAGAGTACCCGTTCGTTAGCATAACTGCTTTTTCACGCACTTACTTCTATAAGTAAAGCTTTTGAAACAGTCAAATCTGAAGAAACTAAGGGTGCAGCCATTTCTTATCTACCCTATTGATTTCAATATTGCGTATGTTTAATCTGAAGTGCGGGCATCGTAAAGCACATTACTAACAACACATTGCAAGCGAAATGCCAGCCATCCAAATCACACAACTTCGGAACGTTCAAACTGCATAATAATTTATTTATTTATTTTTATTGCTCAGCAACTCGTACTCTGTCCGTGTTTGACCGCGTACTGGGGTATGGACACATGCATTTTGTCAACGTCGTCGAAATCTTGGCTCAACCAAAGAAAACACGATTGGAGGCTCCGTATCCACGGCCATAACCTCCGTAGCCTCCGAATCCACGGCCGTAGCCTCCGTAGCCGCCGGATCCACGGCCATAACCTCCGTACCCGCCAAATACGGGGCCATAGCCTCCGTAGCCTCCGTATCCACGGCCGTATCCTCCATAGCTTCCGTAGCCTCCGTAGCGTCCGTAGCCTCCGTAGCCTCCGTAGCCTCCGTAGCCTCCGTAGCCGCGGCCGTAGCCTCCGTGGCCGAACTGGGCGGCAGCGAGATTATACAGGGCTGCCAGGACCACAAGGGACATGAGGATGGACTTGCAGGACATCATGTTGATTCTGTAACAAAGACTTGAATAAAGTTTTTGACATTACCGAATTGCTTTAGTATAACAATCCTTGTACGCAATCTAGTATTTAAATGCAAAAATCTGCTAAAGTTAAGGCTCGGACTAGTTGGTATTAAAGTCACTGGATCCTGGGAAAGTAGCGCCAAGCTCCTCGTATGATCGCCATCTTGGTCCGTGAAATGAGCAATTTCTCCTTGACCCCTCCGTTCTTGGTGAGCCGATCTAAATTCGCTGGTGACGGGTAGCTTTATGGAGACGTTTCTTGTATCTTGTATACCGATATTTCGCTATCCATGCACCGGCGAAACAAGCGTACATCTTCGTACCACCATCACATGCTGGGTCGGTGTTTGGAGGCACTGAAAAATAAGTTTACTGTTTTAAAATACTCAAGAAGAACACCATAATTGTAAGAGATCCGTGGAGATGGCCATGATTGATAAGTTGATTGCATACACAGCAGTGTTGCGGAATGGGCACCCCCATTTCATTCCAATTCCATTCCGGGGAATTAGAGTTTTCGATAATTCAATTCCTTTCAATTCCTAGGAATGGAGACACTGGGCCCATTCATACTCCTGGAATGGCTGAATCGTTCCATTTCATTCCTTTAATTCCTAAACGTAAAAAGTGGCACTTGACAGCTACATTGTGTTGCCGGCAAAAGCAGCAGAAAGCTGACATTATCAAATGCAGAGACAATTCCAAAAAAAAAAACTGCTAAATTCCTCAAAAAAGCACTGATTTTACTAAGCGGACCGCTGGTGGCACAAAGCGTTTATTTACAATGTACTACAAACATCGAGAAAGCCCTTTGATATGTCCATGCTTGTTTGAGACATCGGTCTCGCGACCACGTGGCTCGCAACAAACAGCAAAACTTAAATCCACTCATTTTTTTTTTTTTTTTTACTTTTTTGCATTTGACTTTTAGGACATACGCGGCCAGCGTGTTAGTTTGATAAGACCATAAAAATATCCAGTCCGTGCTTGGCGCAGGAATCAGTTATATTACTGTATTCTTCAAATACAGCAACACGGCTACTACACTGCTGGAAGTGACTCCATGCACAGCGGCAAGAACACATCCTCTGTCAAAACGCAACCTCTGCGGCGCAGCACGGGGGACCGTATAGAGATAGACCATGTCACGAAACCTGTTTTAAAACGCATAAGTTCACGCTTGCTTTGCGAACCTCGATATTTCTTATCATATTCAATTCAATTTTTGGCTGGGTCGCCTGCCCTTTTCCACCCTTCGCATACTTATTCTCGTGTTTCCTCTTCAGAAAGCGAATAGTGTTCGATGATATACGCCGACTGCACCGTATATAGTTTCATCGCATAACTTTCAGCGTGCAGCTTGTTCATTTTCTTCGCGACGTCGAAAAATGTCTTACACGATGCCATGACTCGATCTGTATTTATCTTGTCTTCTCGTACGAATTGTGATGTTCCTCTTCGCGCTGTTCGAGTGTCGGTTTTAGGCAGCAGACGGTACCAACCGATTCATTCTTCTACCTCGGTGTCGGTTGTTTGCGTCGTAGCAACGGTTCGGGCAGTCAGCGTTGACAAAGCTCTTCACATCAAGATACAATTAACGCGGTAATACCGCACCGTTCGAATTGACATTGCCCGTGTTTCCTGAACAACACCGTCCAACTGACTTCTCTACGCCTCAAACAGGGTCCAGGCCAAGGACCACGAATGCAGACCGGACAGCCGTGACGCGCGGAAGCCAAAACCTCAGTGACAGCTATCACTTAGCTTTCTTTCTCAGTTGCCCTCACAGCAACGATCGCGCCTCGTCTGGTGCGGGACGGTCTTTCTGCAGGTCTAGTCAGTTTGGTCAAACCAAGAGCGGTGACAATAGTCTACTTCACCTTACGATGGACCTCAACAGGCAGCACGAGAGTCATCGAAACTAATCCAGTGCCTTCTGAGTGTCGCGTGACCCTGCAGTCCCGCTCACGGTGCTGGATTGCCTAGTGCGGCTCGTATACCGTCCGCACCAGTCCATCGCAAGGTGAAACGAAGTATGCAGAGACTAAAGTCAAAGGAAATGAGCGGGAATTCGCTAGCTTGCTTGTAACCCCAACCCACTAAAACATGTAACACAGAAAATAAGCATCGGAACAAAGACCAAGTAAAAGGCGGACTTTACAAATGCAGTATCAAAAAAAACAAGCCTCGGAGCAAAGTGCAAGAGGAGAAGAGGGAAGTGAATCTGGCTTTGATTTTAATGCCGAAGCAAACCCACATTTCGCACTTCAAAGAAGTGCGCACGAATGAACGTGGAAGGCAGCAGGGTTGGCTGCCTGCTAAACAACGCTCCTCGAGCTAAAAGAAAACAATACGTGATCATCTTTCGGCGGCGCCCGTGTAAACGAGTTATCAGAGCTCTGCGAGTTATGAGTCGCTTCCGCTCCCAGATCTCAGTCTGTGCGCGCGCGTGCATTCTACAAACCGCCCCCCCCCCCCCCCCCCACAAAAAAAAAAAACATGACAAGAAGCACGATGTGGAGCTGTGCATGGCGGTTTCCTTCTTTGCCACTCCCTTTTATTTTGCTTGATGCTTGGTTTCTTGTTTCGCTCTCGTGTAACGCCATCGAAGCCCGACGCCTGCGCGTCCGTGAAAGGCGCCACGTTACCCCCCTTTCTCCTTTGCTCTTTGATTTCACGCTTGTTTTTTATATTGCATTTTTTTCGTACAAGTCTCCCCCTCATTTTATTTCTGAGCAACTGACTCGCTGACTGGCTCAGTTTAGCTGACCGTAAACACACACAAAAAAAATAATAATAAAATTAAAAAAAGAAGAACCGTGTTCTTTTTCATTCCCATTCCATTCCGGGCAAAAGGCACCTAACTCCATTCCCATTCCATTCCCCTGAACGTTGCCGCCATTCCATTCCCATTCCATTCCGGGGTCGCGAAATGCGGAATGATTCCGGAATCATTCCAACTCCGGAGTGGCAACTCCGCAACACTGATACACAGTGCCAAAGACGCTTATATTGGCAAGGAACGCTGATGATGCTTCATGGTGATCTTGGCGCGACTAATTTAGGACGACCTTCAGGAAGCTTCGAAGATTTGAATGGACCGAGATGGCGATTCTCATGGGAACGTAGACAGATTGGCCAATCGCCTTGCGAGGTTTTGGTCGTCTTTATGTTAGTATCTGTTTGTGTGCGGCTAGCAGGTTGGGAAGGCAATGGCGCTACTTTCCCACGATCCAGAGACTTTAGTTGGTATGACCATATTTGGGAATTAAAACAGCGCAAAAGACGAGGAACCAGATGAAGAAATAAACAGACACAGCGCTGTGTCTGTGTATTTCTTCATCTGGCCCCTCGTTTTTTCAGTTTATGACATGTCACACATGGGCATCATGTGTGACATGAGCGCACTTATTCAGCGTGCCACAAGAAAGAAGACTTGTACTTTTTTGTTTCATTTTTTCTTTGATTATATACAAGCCTCTGCTGCGCATTATTAACGCGTATTGTGCTATGGAACCGTTGTTCTCATTTGTAAAATTTATGGTGCCCACTTGTTCATAAAATACAGTCTCACCTTGAAATGGCCGGACTATGAACAAATATGAGAGATTTGGAACAATCTAAAAGGTTAAACACTGGTGCACTTTTTTTATTTATTGCCTCGGTAAAAAATCTATATTAGATTAGTTAAAACAACCGATGACAAAATTAGGAAAAAACGAAACCATAGAAAGATGGTGCGTGGGTTATATTTTATAATAACGCATACCGGCCGGGGGCAACTAAAAAATATCATGAACGCATTCAATTTTGAATTAAAAAAAGCTTTCGTGCCATCACCACGCTGTCCTTACAACTTGAACGCTTGCCACTAGGGCTTGACAAAAATTTCTTAATGCAGCCGGAATCAGCACAGGACACGGTGCTAGAGGATTCTACTGACAAGAACTGTTGTTAAAAAGTACCAGCTAAACGAGATTTCTAAACTTGTTGATATAGCAATGAAATTAATCAACTAGAAACTCTAGATTGTCAAACATTTCTAAACCTGTATTACCGTTGCCAACACACTTGTGACAACAGTCGTGGTAGCGTGATATAAGGTACTCACCGGTTCTACTGTGGGCTCGCTGAAGCACTGTGGCTGTCAACAGATAACGCCGCGCTTTTATAAAGAGTCGTTTTACCACGCGGTCTGCGGGGTCTTACGATAAACAGGGAAAACCCACTAAAGGGACACGCGGGGATCAGCGTCTTTGCTGACCTCATTACGTAAGATACTTGGGGCCGCTGGTGCACCCTGCCATTGTTCCTTAGACGTTAACGCTGTCCCTTCACACATGTTGTAAGGGGTGGTATCGTTCTAGAAACGAGGCAAGCGAATAGGGCTGTTCGGAGAGTGTCAAGGCTTCGGACGGGGAACTACCTTCGTCCTCTCGTGGCGGGAATGACCACTGCTCGTGGGCACACAATTCGTAAGGCGTCCGTTATAAGGAAGTTCACATCGAATACGGTCGAGGGGGTTGCAGGCGACGCGAAATGCCGCATAGGTTTGAGATGATTATTTGGGATGTTCGTTGAGTAAACGTGTCTTGTAGTGAAGTACTGCACATGCCGAACTAATTGTTTCCCTTTTGGAGTGCTGTGGAGTGAAACTTTTGGTTATTTTCTTGCGCATTATTGCGGAGGCACACGTTTAAAACGTACGTCTAAATTTTTGCGAAACGTTGTTCGCCAAACATCTTTCATAACCCAAAGGTTATGAAAGATGAAAACACCAATGTTTGTAGATGTTTAGCAGCGCGCGCATTTTCGCTTCCTGGCACCCTTCACACATTGTATCGTCTTCTTCTTCTTGTTTAGTCCTTGTTCAGGTGTAGTATGGGTTTACGATTATTATCCAATATGAATCCTAAGCCCATACTATACGTGACAGGACTGCTGCTTGCGGGACATGCATGCTGCTCGCAAGCAGCAGTCCTTCCTGCAGCGAGAGTACAGGGGTGATTTCCCGTCCAAAGCCCTGATACTCTCTGGACAGCCAGACCTGTTGCTTCTTTTCTAGAGCGACATCACCTCCTCTTGCAAGTGCCCCAGTGTGCACCAGTGTGTAATGGGGTCGCAGACGACACCGATCCCCGCGTCTCCCCTTAGTGGACTTTCCCTGCCAACGTAAGGGCCTACAAAGAGCGGGGTAAAACGCCTCTTTATAAAAGCCGGCGTTATTCCCATTGCTGATCACAGACCTGCAGCGAAGCGACAGAACAAGCGGTGAGTGACTTAGACCACGCTACCACGACTGTTGTCATAAGTGTGTTGGCATCAGTAATAAAAATTCAGAAAAGTTTGATAATCCACAGTTCATGAATAGTTAATATAAAAACGTTTAGAGATCCGGATTGCGACCTCACAACAGAAATATGTTGAGATTATTTCTTAATTTTAGCTGGCAATATTCTATAGCAAATCTTTTTGGTAAACTCCTGTAGCAACACAAGAGAAAACATCCCTTTGCAGATTTCTAGTGCTTTTAGGATTCTTGGGCATAACATAGTTACAGACGTTGAAGTTGTAAGAACAGCACGCTGATTGCACATAACCCCTTAATATTCGAAATTTTATGCCACCTTGGTAATTTCGAGTTGCATCGGTATACAGCAATATGCTATAAAGCATATATTTCACGTCATTTCCATAGTTTGGTTTTAACTAAACTCATTACAAGTTGAATTAAGCGCTCGAATAATAGTAATGTTCATTGCCGGAAATTGGATCGGGCCGTTGTTCACTGTCAGTGGTGGATGTTGGCGGCGATGGCAGAGCAGGAAGAGATTTCAGGTGCTAATATTTTTTCAAGGTTTATTCAATCTAATTTTTATCAATGCATTAGCATTAGAACGTTCGTTTTGACGACAACCCGGCGGTGTCCTTCGTTTGTCAGTGCCGGGGAGGGAAGAAGAAGGAGGGGGAGAGGGTGACTCGTGTGACGTTCCCACTGGTGCGAAGCGCTGTCGTCAGGACGCGTCAACCTCTCCCTCTTTCCCCTGTGCTGACAGACTGACAGACACCGCCTGGTTTTCGTCAAGACGAGCCCTTTCGTTTTTTGTCAAAGCCACGCCCACAGCTGGCACGGAGCCAGGAAGAAGGACGCGCCGGGGGCGAGGAGCAATGCGGGCGTGCTCAGTTAACACCTCCTAGATAAGAAAGCCTAAGTGCTGAATTCTCCTGCGTCACTAAAGAAGGCCACCGTAGACCACAGATTGGACACGACTACGGCATCAAGGCTCGGCACAAAGACGTGTTCACAATGATTGGACACAAGTTACAAGCGAACGCTGACGCTGCACTCGTAGCCAATCTGTGACCTACGCTGGCCTTTTTTTAGTGACACGGGAAATTTCAATACTTGGGCTTTCTTATCTAGATGGTGTTAGCTCAGTTGCGCTCTGCCGTCTCCGGTTCTTCTTCGCTCTCGGTTTCCGTAGTAACGGTGCGTCGGCTGCGATGTCTCTGTGTAGTAAAAACGATGGATGCGGTTCCCCTAACAAGTGATATGGATGTGGCTCTTCCCACAAATGAGATGGATGACCGTATATCCAAGGGCATCGACTCACCCTGACAGGCAGAGAACAAAAAAGGTGAAAAATATTACAGGGAGATTCATTAGTAGATTCTTGGGGAATCCGTTAGCATGATCCTAGGGAAACGCCACACACTGACCCCGTAACAAGAAAAAAAAGAGGAAGCAAAAAATAGACGATGAAAAAGAGAAAGCCAAAACAGAAAAGGGAAGGAGTCAGCGTTAGCAATTCCCAAAGGGCGACTTGTGTGGCACTTCCCAGGGATCATGCTCACGTATTCTCTAAAAGCCACCAACGGATTTTCCTGTATTTTTCTTGCCAACAATATACACCCAATATTTTGCTCAAAGTTTGGGTTAAGGCATCGTTGACGCGCGATGAGGCGCTCAAGCCCCCGCTAAACTCGCACTTTTTTAACGTCTGCGGCTTCTGTATGGGATCACCTTCTTCACGTTTAACCGGGACAGGCGAATAAGGTTAAACCTGGTCAGTGCTAGGTAGTGGATTCTCACCCAATAATCGGCTGAAAGTTGACACAAATGTCCGAAAGCCCTGAACGAACAGTTACAGCTCAGAATTCCTGATAGAATCGGTACATGGACTGCTCGCCGTCACTCCGGTGCCAAGCCATGAATTCCTGATAGAATCGGTACATGGACTGCTCGCTGTCACTCCGGTGCCAAGCCATGACTGCACAGCTGTACATTGATAAACTGGCTCTAGCCTCGAATAACCGAGACATCGGTGTCGCAAACAATGGGAAAAATAGACTCGCGTAGGCGCAACACGTACGCGCTGTGTACACTACTGTACATGGCCTTACAGCAAGTCAAAGAGGTGAGTCAGGTGTCAACTTTTCGAATTTGCCAGACCTGCCCAAGTTTGTCTATACCCTTGGCCATTTCAAGGTAAGGCTTCGTTTTTTTAACCTTCTGGGCACCATCCAATTTGCAAATGATAGCAAGAGTTCTGTAGCATCCTTCGCTTTTACGACGAGCAGCAAATGCATGCGTATAGTAAAAAGAGACGAGAAAACAAAAACAAAAAGAATGAAGGGCACGGCTCTTTTTCTATATCACATTCATAAAGCGCGCTATGGGAACCATGTGTGATGTCTCATACTCACAAACACGCTCGGCCGCCTCTGAAAACTGATAGCTGAGGTTTCGAAATCTAATTAAATAAACTGCGAGAAAGCACGAAGTTTACTACTAAATAAGTTTGGTCATGTAAAAAACGGTATCCTTATGTTAATTACAGAATCGACATGGTGTCCTGCAAGTCCCTCCTCGTACTTCTTGTGATCCTAGCAGCCTTGTGCAGCCTCGTCGCCACCGAGTTCAGCAACGGAGGCTACGACCGTGGATTCGGACGCTACGGAGGTTACGGCTATGGATACGGCGGTTACAGAGGTTATGGGCGTGGATTCGGAGGCTACGGAGACTATGACCCTTGGTTCGGAGGCTACGGGAGCTACGGCCCTATTTTCGGAGGCTACAGAGGTTACGGCCACGGATTCGGAAGCTACGGAGGCTATGGCCGTGGATACGGTGGCTATGGAGATTACGGACGCTACGGAGGATACGGAGGCTACGGAGTCTTTGATCGTGGATTCTACGTTTGAGCCAAGCATTCGACGGCAATGACAAAGTGATAGTGTCCTCAACAGTCTACTGAAATATATAAAAAAAAGAAATAAAAAAGAAATAAAAAAAATATTGCCTTATTTTATAATGATCCCAATCAGTGGGATTTCAAAAGGTGGCGTGCGAAACGACGCCGTGTTGTTTGAAGACCGGTGGCGTCGCTGCGTTTCCAAAGGAGCTAAGCCTTTTTCTTTCTTTATTTTTTCCTTAGGTAAGTTTGCTCTTTGCAAATTTTACAAAAAAAAAAAAAAAAAAAAAACATCTGTGGGAAACGCTGCACAAAGTCGTAGCGCGATAGGTTAAGAAAAAAAATTTTGCGGTCGATTTAAGGAGCCTGGCCTCTCCTTGAATCATCACCCTGTAGAATTGAATTTAAATAAGTACAAAAGAAAAGACAACAACTTCAGTTCTTTTATAGTGTTGACGTTTCCTAATGCTTACACTTTCGAACTCCGTGAGAACAAAAGTCTGTTGTGACAGCGAACGTATGGAACGCTTATCTCAGTCAAATTATGGTGGACGGACGACTAATACCCCACTTAGCAAAAAGCGTAAAAGTTGGGAACTAAAGACTTCGTTCATGTGTTTATTTTTTTTTTATTCTTTTTTTTTCGTTTTTTTTTGTTATTAATATATTAATGTGTTCAGGTGAAAATAAGTTGCACACATATTTTGATTTTTGTCACTTAACAGCCAGAGAAAAATAACTTATTACAAGAGAGGGGGAATCGAACTAAATGAACTTAAACTTCAATCTTCGCCCCGAACCCTCCGTTCGTTGGTTACTGAACAATAGACGGGACATTAAAAAAGCAATTTTTCATCGTTTTTTTTTTTGTTCTGTTTTTTTACTTTTTACGGGTGCTTATATATCGATGTGTCGTACTTCATATTTATCACAAATAAAAGCAAGTTTTTTTGTATGGAGCCTAAAGCACATATTTTTCAATAATGTTCTAAAAAAAACACTTTTTTTTTTATTCAGTGAAGAATATCATCCGAACATTTTAGCCCCTAAACTTAGTCAAGAAGAATATCATAGCAGATCATATACTACATAAATATGCGTGTTTCTTGATGCATATTAATCAGAGATACGAAAAATTCCAGCAATACTTAGCCGCGTTATCAATCGCAAATGGTTTTGAAACTCGAGGCAAGTGTAAGCTTAGTCTAAACCAAAAATGCAAGTTTAGTTGTTTTCTAATCAGCCATTTATTTTTTATTTATTTTTTAGTTCAGAAACCTCAAACAAGTCATACTGTTTTTTTTTTTTTTTTTTTTTTTTTTTAGGTTGGGAACTAAAGTTTTCCGATATCCACGTTGCCACTTGTTTAATATCATTTCTCCCCGATATCCAAGAATGTCTAAAAAGTTTACGAGACTTAACTTGTAACAATAAAATTGTTCTCACTTCTAAAAAAAAATTTTTTTTTTTACTTAAAACGAATCAATATTTAAACTTTCTCAATACAGCTCGCTAAAACATGAGAGAAAAATGGGCCATAGTTCAAATGGGTTGTTGCGCAATATAACACATGGGTAGACTAACAGTTCAAGGCACGCGGGGACGGGGACAGTCATTGATATTGTATTACTGTTCTACAGCCAATGAGGCTATTATATGAACCAATAAAAATGACAAAATAATTAGAAAGACGTGTGACAATAAGTAGTGGTTCCTTATTGCCACACTTCTATCTTTCTATTTTTTTCAATTGTTTATTAATGTGAGATTAGCTTTAATTGGTACGTTTGGACATCAATTAATAAGCCCTATAACGTTTACGCAAGAAGTAGACACAGACTTCACTACCAAAGTTATTATTAGCTTAAAAAACAAAGGAAAAGGCTTGTTATTGCCACGTTTCTTGCTTCGGGATGGGATTAGATTGGATAGTATTGAATTAAATTAAATCAAATGTGACAGATATTGATTGTATTCGACTGATTGCATTATTGAATTTGATTGAATTGGGTTGATTTTAATTGAATTGTTGGATTGGATGGGATTGCATTGGATTGAATGAGAACCGATAATAAGGTTCTCAAAACTCGCCACGTTCTGCGTTCTTTTAAGCTGTCAGTGAAGCACACAGTGTGTCTCGCTTCCGTGTCCGTGTTTTGGTGCGTTACGCACTATAGGACCCTTTGTTTCTCGTGAAAGACGCAGAAGTCGCAAAGGGTAACCGGACAAAAGCTCACCGGACAAATGCTCACCGGACAGAAGCTCACCGGACAAAAGCTCACCGGACAAAAACTCACCCGTTTTTTGACAGACCCGGACAAAAGCTCACCCATTTTTTGACAGACCCGGGCAAAAGCTCACCTCGATTTTTTTTTTTCCTACCCGGGCAAAACACGGGCTGAAATAAAGTGCGGACGCAATGGACATTGGACCATTTTTAGGATTTTTTAAAAATGCTTTGAAAGAACGGGAGTTCGACCTTTTGGAAAAGTACAAGACAGATGACCAATTCAAGAAATTGTGCGGGATTTTAGATAGGCTTGGGTTCCTTCCACCACAGCTTGTTCCACAAGAACTAACCACCAGGGAAAAGTCTACCGGTGACATCGGCTACCTGCTGGACTATTTTGATTGCACGTATTTCAACGGCCGCTACCGTCATGCTTCTGTTTCATCTGCGGCCGCACCCAGAGCGAATTCTTCCCTTCGCCTGACTCTGCGCCGACGGCGACCGGAGTTTTCCCCGGTACGGTGGAATATGTACGACACCACTCTTCAAGATAAAGACCGGATCAGCAACACCTGCGAAAGATAGAGTACCGGGTTCCAGAAGCTCGTCGGCCACGCCCATCCAAGCGTCTTGAGGCTGATTGAATGCCTGCAGCAAAATCAGGCGCTCGTTGCCACGGCATTGACAAAAGCCCGGAGAGGTGAGCCCACCATAAAGCGGGTGCGAAAAATTACTCTGCACCTGCAGAATCGTCTTAGAAATATTTGCGAGGGACTGCTGGAGCTAGTGGGGGACTGCATTCGCTTCTAACCAATCGATAAATAAACTTGTTTCTACTAAAATCAACAAACCATGCGCCTGTCAGATTTAATTTATTATTGCCTTTTTGTGTCGCACGCATGCACCTAAGTTGTCCGCACTCCTGTGAAGACCAACATGAAATTTTCTCGTGGTGAGCTTTTGTCCGGGGCTGTGAAAATATGGGTGAGCTTTTGTCCGGGTCTGTGAAAAAATGGGTGAGCTTTTGTCCGGTGAGCTTTTGTCCGGTAAGCTTCTGTCCGGTGAGCTTTTGTCCGGTGAGCTTCTGTCCGGGATTCGTCGCAAAGCACTCAACTTCTTCGATGTCAGTACAGCGCTTCTGTTTCCAACGTCAACAAAAAAAAGAAAACAAAAATAACATTTACAGTCATCAGGGAGTTTAAGAATTTTCCCGGCGTCTTCGATGCCTCAAAAGTAACGCCACGTGCGTATCCCTCTTTATACAACACGGTAATAATGTTATTCTTTTTTTTTTTTTTTTTTTTTTTAGCGAACGTGAGGCAATGCAGTGGAGGTCATTACTGCAGTCCGGGACCTATCGGTATGCCTCGGGCGTCTAAATAACTTCTCAAGTCTGAAACTCCCGCTGGGCACGTCGCGTCTATAGTGACGAAGACAACGACGGCTAGGCAAGCAGTTCCTTGTGGGGAACACCGAGGTGGCCTTGAGTGCGACCGCTTTGGCGAGGCGTCGCAATGGACTTCCTACATAGAGCTCGCTGATTATCGCTGCATGTTACTGTCCTGTAGCAGTACTCCAGAGCAAAAGGCAAGAGATTGAAGCTTCTTGGTGTCACAGTCAGCTCGGAGCCGCCGACCTTTTTTTAGCTTTGCATTTCCTGGTTGACGATCTATACCAGCATATTTGGACAGTGACAACTAAGCGTTTAGCGAATGAAGTATCAGTGTACACTCCACTTCTTTTATATTCCTAACTTTCAATTTTCTCGTTCAGTATTTTTATCCCATATCAAAAGTTAGAGTTTTAGAAGGTTTGGGTTCTTAAATAGGGGTGCATATTCAGAGATTTTATTATGATTAGCCGGATCGTGAGTGGAACAAACAATCGGAATGTTACAACATAAGATAAGAAGACAAGTAATCGATTCTACAGTGTGCTAGAATAACGTGCGTTCAAAAATAAACTCAGCATTTTAATTGTTGTGTGTCAAGATGGTCACCGTCTCCACTGGTGCGCTGTATCATTCGCAACTCTGTCGAGGCAGTTTTTACTCAGAACGTCTGAGCGCCTCCGCGAACTTAAACAAAACTGATGTTGAAAGTGCAATATATATTTCGGATGAACAAATGCCACCGACTGTATCGCCTGCGGACAAAGCTACTCGTAGCATACCCTTCTCCAGTTTGTAGCAAACCTTTGGCTTTGCCTCCACATGTCCCGCTCCGAAGCTCACGTTCCCCGCCAATGTGAATTCTTGTTAACTCCTCCAACGTCTCCAGAGCCCAAGCCGACGCTTCCCGTCAGCCTGGGAATTTTCGAACCCCGCATGAATACAGGCTGCGATTGACTACTGGCGAACATCGGCTAAGGTTCGCGTCACAGCACTGAGCCGGGATTTCTCTTCAGGCCGGCGTCGTGCGCCTCGGGGCTAACGGTGGCCCTAAATTGGCATGATACCCTCGTTAGGAGAGAGAAGGCGCAGCAGACAAAGGAGGCGGCCGGTTTACTTAAGTAAAGAGCAGGCGGGAGTATATAGAGGGTCTTCATTCGAATGGCCTTCATTCGGGTAGTCTTCAAAGAGGGAGTCTACAAGCCGTGGCTGTGACCGGACGAACGGGGCTTAGGCGACGGAATGTGTATTAGTCAACGGTTTGATGGAGCTTGCTGTGTTGTGTGATTTCTTTGGGACCGACTAGGGCTTGGCTTGGTCGAATCGGGCGTCGTTTGAAAGGTCAAGCGATCCTAAAAGTTCTATTTATACAATTACTGTCATCCTTTCTAAGGGTCCCGCCTGACATTTCCTAATGGTCTTCATTGCAAAATCAACATGATGTCCTGCAAGTACCTCCTTGTGGCCCTCGTGGTCCTGGCCGCCCTGTGCA